CGGGCTTACCAAGGGCTCTCCTTCTTTGAATTGCACCGGTTGGCTTTGAGGCAAGGGGAACTGCGGCGGCATCCCTCTGCGGCCAACTATCGTCTCCAACTTTCCCTTGAAGCCGGGAGATGTTGGAGACACTGGTCCCGATTCCACTCCGCCTCCTGCTGCTGCTCCTTCCTCAGCNGGAGATGTTGGAGACACTGGTCCCGATTCCACTCCGCCTCCTGCTGCTGCTCCTTCCTCAGCAGTCGTAGGAAGCTGTGGCGGTGCGTATCTTCGCTGACTAAGTGGAATATCCAATGTCTTTTGTGGCGGACCTCCTTGGCCTTTCTTCCGCATAATGGAGCCGACGGTTACAGGCCTTACCTTAATGCCTCTTCCAGCTGTCCTTCCTAGGCTTCCAGTGCCCGATGGGCCCGCCGACTCCGAAGGAGCCCCGTACGGGTCACTGGGTAGGCTCAAAGACCCTGTTGGAAGGTTCTTGAAGGGATCGTCATCCGCTTCGAGGTTAGCAAGCGCTGCCTCTGCCTGTCGTGTATAGGGTAGGTCGTAGCCTGATGTGGACGGTGAGGGTTCATCGGGTTCTGGCCTGGGTCTTGAGGGTGAGGGCGTACGTTCTCGTTCTCTTTTTCTGCCTTCTCCTCCCCTTTTTTTCTTCCAAAATCCTGTTTGCAGAAAGCTGGGGTGCGAGTCGAGAGGAATGTCGAGGCCCTCTGTCGCTTGCAGGTAGTGCTGGCTGAGGAAGGCCTCTCCCCCTGTGGAAGGCGCATCCGTTGCAGCTCGCAGATGAAGCGCGAGAGACGAAGAAGAAAACAAATCAAAAGACAAAGCAAATGCCACAAAGGGGGCTGAATAAAGATACTTCGACGCCATGGTGCCGTCTGCGGCCCCCTGCGTCTCGGGGGAANACTCAAAGAAACGGGTGCGATAAATGCAGCAGAGAAAAAAGTGCTGCAGGTGAGAACGAGAAACGCGCAGCCACACGCGATCTCGGGCGCCTGGCCAGCAGGGGCGTCGGCAGCCGGGCCAGCCTCGACTCGGTCACCGCACTCACGGCGGTTGAATGGCGGTTCTAGCGGCGCAGGAAAAATTGTATTAAGATCAGCGGAGTAAAATCAGACAAAAATAATCTAATAAAACATTATAATTCTGGTTTTTAGCTTAGTTCGGTAGAGTTCCGGTACCCTCTGCGCTCTGGCCACCGGTCCTCGCGCCGGTCAGGCCGGTCCGTCAGCAACGAGTTGAATACTGTAGGTCCAGGCGCGATCCGCTATCTTTCCATGAAAAAAATAAGTGTGATCTAATGTGTATGATGTTGTTTAATATGGTGTAAAATAATCCAGTAGTATAAATCTGGGTTTCCAAATGATTTTGAAACCGTCGTGCAGCGCATAACTCGGAACTGGGTAGGCTGGACAGCTCGGTTCCTGAGGCCTGCACCTGCAGGCGGTTCTGCGGTAACTTCAATCTTAATTCCGGCACTTTCTGCTGAACTAATGCCAAAAACTTTCGCCTTTGTTTGCGTTTAAATGGAACAAACCTGGAAATCCGGCGGGAAAATTTTGCATCGCTTCGAGGGACTTCGGCAGGCAAGAAGCCGGCGAGCGATCTTTGTGTTAAGTGAGTTTGTTACTGACTCGAGACAGAAGAAACAAGAGACGTGTCATTATTAATAGATGGAACGATTTCTTCAAAAATAGAAATAAACGTATTATGAGTGCAGCATAATTTCCAAATGAGGAAGGACTTTAAGGAAAAATTATGCTGACTAGCAGTTTCGATGAATTATTTAATTTATTCTTCAAAAAATTGCTGAAATGAATTATATTTAAGACCTTCTAAGAACATTCAGTGCATAGTACATATTATTAATGATATTTACACAATGATTCCCTTCCGTAAGGTCTATATAATTTATCACATACAGACAAAGCTAAATGCATAATCCCTACCGTTTGAATGCTATTTAGAGATACTAATTCATAAACGATGTAGTGTATAGGATCTACTATAGAAGTATCAAACAATAAAGGGAAATGTTTACAGTATAAAACTATATTACTGTAGTTTTTTCAATAGTTCAAACAATGTTGTAATCGAATGAATACTATTTAGAGAGGCAGAAACAACCGACTGCAAGATTGCATACTCACACTCAGCAACTGCAGTCAAACGCAATAAAGGCAGTGGGAAGTTAAACATAACTGCCGCCGAAAACACTATCTTCCTTGGGCAATTCTCAATTGCCCAACCTGCGTATCGCCTCTCGCTGCAGCTAAACAGATAGTTGTGGGCTTGAGGTGCTGGGGGGGGTTACAACAGCAGCAGCAACAGTAGCATCAGCAGGAGCGCCTACGACAGCAATGACTGCAACAGCCACTGCCCGCGACACTCTCGCCAAGGGAACGTGGCACACTTTCGCTGCATTTCTAGCACCAGGAACGCTTATATTTGCTTCATAAATGCATGCACACCTATACATATAGTATGCACATACGTGTGTACAACAATACATACATACATATATATATGNATGGTGTTTTGGAGTTAATCTAGTCATGAGATAGCGGCTGTCTGTTCACTTCGCCTGCTGGCTGCCCAGGCTCCTATGAAGTACTGACTAGGCCGCTCTTCGAGAGCCCTCTTCGCCTTGTTGCGTGCTTGTATATGGGCCTTCTGGGCCTTCGGTGGCGCCACTAGTTCTTTCATTCCCTCCCCATCCTTGAGTGGAATTTGGCGGGAGCCGCTGCCCCATGGGCTCCCGATGATCTAGTGAAGAGAATAGATGAGAAGCCGACCCTGCTAGAGGTGTCGGCACGATCCCCGAAGAACTTTCTCTTCTCGGTGCTTCTTCTCTTCCTCGGCGTACAAAGGTGCTTCAAGAGGCCCCCGGGCCGCCCAGTAGCCCTGCCAGCTTCCTCCTAGTTTCATCAAATTTTTGGCGAGCATCACCTCCGTCAGGAGGCGATTCGGGTCCCGTTGCTCCGCTCTGCAGTGGTTGGGCCACTCCTTGAGAGCCCTTTGTTCCTTCTTCTGCCCTTGGAGATGGGCCATATGAGCCTTCTGTGCCTCCGGTGGCGCCACCAGGCATTCCATACCCTCTCCAGGCTGGAGCGGATTCTGGCGGAATCGGCTGCCCCATGGGATGTTCACGACGTAGAGAAGAGGTTCGTTGAGGAGGTGGCCCTGGACGAGGTCTCGGCAGGGTCGAAGATCTCGTGGGTGGTTGATGATGTAAGGGAGGCATTTCGTGTCCCCCTGGCCCTCTCTGTGCTGGTTGGGTCCATCCTTGAGGGCCCTCTGCTCCTCCTTGTGTGCCCAGATATGGGTGTTGTGGGCCTCCGGCGGCGCCACCAGGCATTCCATACCCTCTCCAGCCTGGAGCGGATTCTGGCGGAACCGGCTGCCCCCTGGGATGGTCACGACGTAGAGAAGAGGTTCGTTGAGGAGGCGGCCCTGTACCAGGTCTCGGCAGGGTCGAAGATCTCGTGGGTGGATAACGTTGTGAAGGAGGCATTTCCTGCCCCCCTGGCCCTCTCTGAGCTGGTTGGGTCGGTCCTTGAGGGCCCGCTGCTCCTCCTTGTGTGCCCAGATATGGGTGTTGTGGGCCTCCGGCGGCGCCACCAGGCATTCCATACCCTCCCCAGCCTTGACCGGGCTCTTGTGGAGCCGGCTGTGCCATGGGACCCTGACGATCTGAAGGATAAAATGGATGAGAAATTGGCCCTGATTGAGGTCTCGGCAGGCCCCACGAAGGAGCTTCTCTTCTCTGTCCTTCAACACCTTCGGGAAGTTCACCTTCCGGAGTGGGTATATGTGGGCCAAATCTTTCGCCCTGTCCTAGTCCTGGTGTCATTGCCAGTTGTTTCATCATTGCTTCTGCTGCTGCTGCTGCAGCTTCATCCGAAGGCTTGTCCGACGCTGCATATCTCCGCTGATCAATTGGAATCTTAGTTGGGCCTTTCTGCGTTCCCTGCTGTCCTGGATGTCCTGAGCCTGCCTTATCTTTGCCCAATGTGACATCTGCTTTAACGCTGCTCCGCCCTGATTTTCTTCGGCGAAGGCTTCCAGTGGAGTATGGGTCACGGGGCCCCCAAATGTCAGAAGGAGTGTCGGGGCCTCCCTCCGGAAGAGTTCGCATCCCCCCTGGGACACACTGAGAGGGGATTACAGGGAATCTATTATCCCCGAGAACCATTTCTGCTGCGGCAGAACAGGGGAACCCTAGACCCTTCTCTACTCGTGCCGTGGGCTGAGGAACGGGAGGCGGTGGTTTTGGGGCGTCTTTGTCTTTTCTTTTTAGTTTACCCCAAAATCCTTTTTGCAGAAAACTGGAGTGCGAGGAGGGGGAGACGTCGAAGAGTTCTGGCACCTCCTGGTCGGGCTGGCTGAGGTGGCCTCCTCCTCTTCTGGGGGCATTCTCTTCATTGGCCATTCGCAGACGGAGGCAGAGGGAAAAAGAAAACGAATCAAAGTACAAAACTAATGCCACAATTGTGGCCGGAAAAAAGCGTTTCGACGCCATGGCGCCGCCTGCAGCCACTGCAGCTCCCGGCGGGCAAGTGCACAGGACGGCACAATGGAAAGCGAGGAGTACAAGGACCCGCTGGCTTTCACAACTGAACACAAAACATTAAAACAATGAAGTAAAAAAAATACAACACACAAACAAATGGTGCAAAGACGAAGGCCAAACCTGCAGACACGCGCAGCGCCTCGCCGGCAGGCTCCGCTGCTGCCGGCTCGCCTCGACTCCAACCAAGTAAAAACGGGGATTGAATTGGGGCCGTAGCAGTGCAAAAAACAACTTTAACAGGCAGAGAAAGAAAATCAGTTAAAAATAACGAAATGTTTCTTCCAATTTAGGTTTTGAGCTTCTTTCGGCAGAAGATCGGCTGCGTGCGGTGCGCTGACCATCGGTTCTCTCCCCGATCCGGCCGGTCGGACGACACTACGTTGAAGGCATCTGCAGATTCAGATTCCGCGGACGGTTCCGAGCATTTATTAGAAGGCGGTAGAATAGGTAAATATTTATAATATTTTACAATGCAATAAAATATAATGTATAAAATAAGGTCAGCGTTATGGCTTGCTCAGACGCTTGACGTCATTTTGAAACGCATTAGCTGTCGTCGAGCGGCGGGTGGGCTGATTGATGGCCAGGTTCGCATTTGCCAGTTGTAGCTTAAACGCATAGATCCAGTCAGCGTTGTTTGCAATGACTAATTGAATGTTTTCCAATTATTCTTACCTGGTCTTGTGTTCAATAATTTGCAAGTCATCTGCAGATGTGGGCGTATGCTGGTGAGCCGAAGACTGTAGAAAATGATAGGCGACACCGAGCCCACGTCATATTGCACGCGTGCAAAGTGAACCTTTTATGTTGCCTCTTTGTCTTGTTTTGATTCATTTCACTTTATCTAATATTACTTTTTTTGTGCTTTGCTGTGCTTTTCTTGCACTTCATTTCGATGTACCCGTCGATTTTCCTCACCGCGCCGGTAAGCCGGAGCACCGGGTGCCGAAGGCTACGAACGTGCAGGCAGCGGAGGGAAGAAAATCGACTCTGTTCCATCTGAGGACTGTATTTGCAGAGAAAAATTAAAAACAAAACACAAATAAATCTAATCGAAATAAAACATGCCAATTATTCCCGAGGTGTGTAGTGGAAACCGTGTTCATTGATACCGCGAAGTCAATGCTGCCGGCGCGGTGACCTTTGGCCCGGCGCTGTGCTGAATGGAAGATGAGAAAGAAAGCAGTTTCAAACGCCTCCAATAACGAAGTTTGTTATATTGAAAACGATTATTGATTCGTTTTCAATTGAGAAAACGAATTCAATGAAACGCGATATGCACCTCGAAACAGCCACGGCCCGCCCTTGCTTAGCCCCCCCAGCTGTTTACTCGGTTGATCCCGCAGCTACCTACTGGTGAGCCCTCTAGTTCTTGTGTTTCTTTCGGCTCCATATGAGTGTCAGAAGTTTGATAACATTATATTTAATTCACATTGGGCTTTGTTTCCAACCATCCAACGTACAAACACGACTGCCTCTCAATCCTCCTTCGTTTGCCCGCTGTTTGTTGCGCCGTTCGAGAAAATGAAGATCTACGGCATGGGCCCGACTTTGTTGGCTGCATTATTCGCCCTAGTTGACTTTCCTCTCCAATCGTTATCTGTGCGAGTCGGTCTTTCTCTATCTCCTGCCGCCTACGATTTCAATCAGTCGCTATCTCCTGCAGATGACAGCGGGTGGGAAGTGATCGGAGATGANTTCTCAGCTCAGGCGAGGCAGGAGCAATCGCAGAAGGAGGTCTGTCGCAACTGGAGCAGAAAATGACAGAAAAAACAATAGGACTGGGGGAGTACAATAGTCAAACAATACCCGGAAAAGCCGAGGAAAACAGCAGCTTGAATTTCCTGCAAATGGACAAAATACGCCGCTGGTGGGCGCACAGGAGGGAAGCAACGGCCCGTCGGCGAGAACAACGAAGGCTAAAAGAGGAAGCTAAAAGGAGAGAACAAAAACGAAGAAGACAAGCAGAAAGGGAACAAAGAGGTGCACAATCAGGAAGTGATTCGGACAGCTCGGAGGGAGAGTTCAATTGGACGGGCAGCGGATCCGATTCCTTGCTAGGAAACGAGACAGAGGAAGAAAGCTTAGACAGTAGCAGCGGTCCCTATCCGTAAACAAATCAACACAAATGTTGAAGAAATGGTTGCGTAAACCATAAGGAAATAACAGCAAACAAACAACAAACGCAACAACAAACAACAAACAACAAACAACTGCAAGCAACAACGAACTATACATTCAGCTGTTCTCGAGAATGACGGCATCCAATACCTTAAACCCTAAACCCTGAACCCTAGGTGTTGGCCTCGGTTTATAGCTGGGGAGGGACAATTGCATTTTATAATTGTGTAAGTATACACTTATATTTACATAAGCATTGGTATTTATGAGAATACCAGTGCATATAGATATTTGCATACGTTGATATGTTTACGTAAATGCAAATACATATAGAAACATATCAATTTATACACACATATATATATATATATATATATATGTATATATATATATATATATATATAT